CTCCATGTTTTTTAATTCTCCTCTCATGTTTCTGATTTCTAGAATTCTTCTTTGTTTTTCCTCAGGATATTCTTACTCCTTTGTTGCCCCGACTTTTTTCATTTGTAAAGTTGTGTGAAGGATACTTCTATTTTGCTATTTACCTAGAAGTTCTTTGTGTTTTTTTCCAGTATTTTAAAATTCCAATTTGACTTGTCTGTAGTGTTTTTCAGTATACTTCTTTGTATATGCTTTTTTTTTTTTTTTTTTTGGTGGATGCTTTACAAATACATTATATATACATTATTTACCATACCTGCATCTTACCAGTTCAAGTGAAAGTACAGGAAACTTACCTCCCTTTATGTTCCTTTTGCTACATTAATAAAATAATCATCTTCTACATGCAATGAGAAACACATTTAACTGTCAAACGTAAGTTTGGAAATTAAAAATAAATAAATGACAGGACATTCTATTGAATTCACTTATAGTTTTGCTCTTTCTATGGTATGTATTGTGCTTCTTCCTGTTCCTAAATTCCTTCCAATATCACTTCTTTTCTGGCTAGAGAAATTCTTTTATTTATTCTAGGATAGCTGTACTAGCCACAAAGTCTTGGTCTTTCCTCATCTGAGAATGTCTTAATTTTCCCTGTTTTTCAAGGATACTTTTCCTTGATACAGAACAGTGAACTGACAGTTCTTTTCTGTAGAACTTGAAAGACAATGTATTTACCTTATCTTCATGGTTTCAAATTTTTAAAATACGTAATTTTTGAATTTGGTATTCTCCTACAGATAATGCACTGTTTCTCTCTGGGTGCTTTTAGGAATTGTTTTTGTCCTTAGTTTTCCAAAGTTTGATTATGAAACATCTTGGCATAGACTTGTTTGGGAGACCACTGTTAGATATTAATTCACCTTTAATTAATTCACTTGTTTTATGTCTTTGACACCCAATTATAATTTTCAGCCACAATTTCTAAGAATATTTTCTCAGCCCACCCTCTCTTACATCTCCTTCTGACACTGACAACCCAAATGTAAGGTCTTTTGCTTATAGTTCCACATCATCCAAAGATTCATTCATATTTCTTTCTTTCTTTCTTTCTTTCTTTTTTTTTTTTTTTTTTTGGCAGAACTGAGGATTGAACTCAGACCCTTGTACTTGCCAGGGAAGCGCTTATTCTACTGAGCCATCTCCCCGACCCCTCCATTCATATTTCTAAAATGTACTTTTCTGTTGTTCACATTAGATAATTTTTATTTTTCTATTCTCACATTCAATGATCTAGTCCTCTCTCCACTGTTGCTACAGAACACTGAGTTTTCAATTTTAGGGACTATATTTTAAAAATACTTTTATTGTGCTAAACTATACACAAAATTTAACATTTATTTTTAAATATACAACTCATAAGTATGCAACATATTCACGATGTTATATAACCATCACTCTTGATTTCCATAATTTTCATTATTTCCCCCAAAAAATATCTGTGCTTATTAAAATTAGCTCTGTCTATGAATTTGCCTATTCTAAGTATAAGCTGGATGAAACAATATTTGTTATTGTATGTCTGGCTTAGAGAAATGTTTTCTGGGCCCGGGGAGATAGCTCAGTAAAATAAGCACTTGTCTGGCAAGCACAGGGTCCTGAGTTCAATCCAAACCCTCAAAAAAAAATTTTAGAGAAATGTTTTCCAAGTTCATCATTCATGTTATAGCATGTATCCAAACTTCCATTACTTTTAGGGAACAGAGTTTTACTATGTTCCCCAGGCTGACCTCAAACTCTTGGGCTAATCAGTCTTTTTGCCCTAGCATTCTGCTTAGCTGACTATAAGCATGAGCTAACTGGACTGGACAGAATTTCATCTGTTCCTAAGGTTAAACAATATTCCATTGTAAGTCCATATGACATTTTGTTTTGGTGCTACTGTTGTTCTGAGACAGTCTTATTGTGCTACTCAAGCTGTGTCTAAATTCCTGAGTTCAAGTGATCCTTTTTTATTTTCATTTATGTATTTAGTACAGGGTCTCACTACACAGCTCAGACTCATAGTGATTCTCGTTTTCAGCCTCCCCAATGCTGGGATTACAGGCATGTGCCACCAGGCCCAGACTTGGTTGCTGGTTCTGCATGGCCCAGGGTGCAGGGGCGGGGCTGGCGCAGCCTGCCTCAGCCTCCTAAGTAGCTGGGAATAGAGGCCTAAACTACTGTGCAAGGTCACACAGTATATTCATTCTTTTGTCAATGACCATTTGGATTGTTTCCAACTTTGGGTTCCTGGAAATAATGGGGCTATGAACAGAAGTGAACATTTCTGAGTCCCTTTTTTGTTTTTTTTTTTAAATGTACATAGTGATCCTCCTGTTTTCAGCCTCCCCAGAACTGGGATTATAGGTGTGTGCCACCACATCCAGTCTCGGTGGCCGGCTCATTGCTCCGGCATGGCATGTAGTACCTGGGATCAAACCCTGGGCGCTTAGTCTGCTGAGCTGTCTCGCTGGCTCTTGAGTACCCACTTCTAATTCTTCAGTGTATATATTTATGGGTGGGCCCGCTGAATCATATGGTTATCCATCTTTGAAATACTGTTTTCCACCATGCCTACATCATTTTACATTTCTAACAGCAACGTAAAAATGTTCTACTTTCTTCGTATCTTCACTGACGCTTGTTATTTTCTGTTTATTGACTGATCTATCCTAATGGGTACTAAGTGGTACCTCAGTGATTTTTGTTTTGCATTTCCTTTATGGTTCGTGATGTTGAGTGTCTTTTCATACACTTACTGACAACCTGTATATATTTTTTTGGAGAAACATCTACGTAAATCCTTAATCTTTTTTAGCTTTTCAGTGTTGGGGTTCTAATCTAGGGCCTAACACATCATCCTTTTGCCTATTTTTCAACTGGGTGGCTTTATTCTGTTTTGATTAAGTGGTAGCTTTATATATCCTAGATGCTAAGCTTTTGTCAGATAATACAATTTAGAAATGTTTTGTCCTGTTTATACTTTTTAACAAATTTTTTTAACAACAAATTTTAGATTTACAGAAAAATTAATCAGAAATTAGGGTTCTCACATTCTCCTTCCATCTCTCCCCTATAATCTTTTCTATAATTTATATATTATATTGGTCTGGTGTATTTGTTAAAATTCGTGAACTGAAGCTGGACATAGTGGTGCATGCCTGAGAGGAGGGAGGGGAGGCTGCTCTTGGGTTCAATTTCCACTACTGCAAAATGAAAAATATACAAATAAAAATTCAAAAATTGATGAACCAGTACTGATACTTAGTTAACTAAGGTCACTAGAACTTACTGTGAGTTTTTTGTTTTGGTTTTTTTGGCAGAACCGGGGATTGAACTCTGGTCCCTACACTTGCCAGGCAAGCGCTTATTCCACTGAGCTTTCTCACCAGCCCCCTTACTGTGAGTTTTGATGTACGATGACATTACCCACCATCACTATACAATATAGAATAGTTTCACTGCTCATAAACTTCCACATACCCCCTGCTCATCCCCCTCCCCTCCCAAATCTCTGATAACCTATGCTCCTTTTTGTCTCCATAGTTCATCTTCAGAATGTCATATAGGTATAATCAGTTTGTAGCACTTTCAGATTTTCTTTCACCTTGTAATATTCTTTCAAGTTTCCTCCATGCCTTCTCAAGACTTGATACATAGTCCTTTATTATTTTGAAATTACAGATTACTATCCCATTATATGTACATATTGCAGTTGAGTTAGTCACTTAATGAAGGACATCTTGATTGCTTCTAGGTTTGGGCAATTATAATTAAGGCTGATATAGACATTTATGTGCAGATTTTTCTGGGGCCAGTTACCATACAATTTGGTTCTCCTTTGTAAAGTTTATTTCTCAAATGAGATTTTATATTTTTTATTAGTTTCAAGTGGACTCATAATTGCTTGTTGAACATTTACATGAGTGTGTTAAAATCCTTGACATAATATTATAATATGCTGCATTTCAGTGTTTGCTTATTCTATCTTTTCTCAGCTATTCCCGATTCCTGTGAGGATGAATTTCTTTTATTGAGATATGATATAACATTCTGAATCTGAGGTTCTACTTGGTCTTCTATGACATTGCTGCTGCTAGAATAAAGTGATACAGTTTCATTGCTGCTACAAAGGCTGGAACTCCAGTTTCTCCACTTGGCCTTCACTGACACCTGGGGAGAGCAGGCTCTTTGTTACCAGGAGGCAAGGATGGGTGTGCAAGCTGTCCTTTTCCTAGTTCTCTGCCTAAGGTGGATGTCTTTTCTGGGGTCTTTTTTGGGCTATACTCATTGTCATTTCCAGGTGCCAGTTATTCTAGCACTCTGCCTAGAATATATGGAGAAAAGAAAATAAAGAAATTCAACTAACATGTTCTTTGTATCTTGAGGTCCCTACCTAGCTTTCCTATTTCTATCTTCCTTTCTTAAGTTTCTTTTATATATACAATCTTCAGAGTTTCTAGCTGTATTTAATAGGAGAAATAGGAAAAGGTAAGTCTACTCTGTCTCCCTAGAAGTACTTTTTAATAGCCTTTTTAAAACAGCCACACCATATACTAGGCATCAGGAGAACAGAAACAGTACTAAACTTACAGTTTAGATGACTGGGTTCAAATCCTGGCTAACCTGGGGGTCCAGAAAAATAGGCTCTTATTTGAATGTTATGATTATTTAACCTCTTAGAACTTCAGTTCCCAGCCATATAAATGGAAATAACATCACAAGTTCACAAATCAGAAATGATTAAGTAAGATTATGTACTTTAAAGCACCTAATACAACAATAGCACACAGTTTGCACTTATTACCTCTAAATCCATGGCTATCAAAATAGTTAAGGTAAAAATTAAATGATTTTTAGACCCATTTAATTTCAACAAGCTCTGAGTCAATAATTATTTATTCTCCACCTCCCTGTTTTAAGGTAAATCCCAACCCCAAATTAACTGAAGAGAAATACATATGTAAACTAAAAATAACCTGTAATTTCAGTGTAGAGATAAATTTATCTTGGTTTTTCACTTCTTGTTCTAGCTGGAGAGTATTCTGTTTTTTTTCAGCTTCAGAAACTGGAGCCCCTAGACCAGAACGATGTTCTTTGGTGGTGACCTAATGGAAAGAACAGATATATACAGGAGCAATCAATTTAAAATGGCTCTGTGATTCTTCACAATAATCAATGAACTTTAAAAAACAGTAATCTTGGGGCCGGGGA